CAGTCAAATCTAGAATGAATAAGAAAATTTGGGTTTCCGTCCTTGTTTATTCAACAAAATTGAAGAGCTTATATGTGACAAGCATTGTATTAGGTGCAGGGGATTCTGGGGAGAGCAAGGCAGACGTCATCACTCTTCTGATAAGAGCCCCGGGTCTAGAGAGAGAAGACAATAAATATCACACACATTACGGTTAATAGTACCGCTGAGATTGTAGAGGAGCAGAGGGAGAAGGAGAAAGAATCCCAAGCAGACTCCGTGCTGAGTGAGGAGTCAGACACCGGTCTCAGTCTTCCAGCCCTGAGATTAGAACCAGAGCCGAAACCATGCTTAACCGACCGCACCACCCCGGGGCTTCAGGACAGTAAGATACTTCGAGAGAGACAACATTCACATAACTTTTATTACAGTATATTGTTATAACTTTTTCTTACTGTTGTTAATCGCTTGCTATGCCTAATTTATAAATTAAACTTTATCATAGGTATGTCTGTATAGGAAAAAAACATACATAGGGTTTGGTAGTATCCACGGTTTCAGACGTCCGCTGGGGTTCTTGGAAAGTATCCTCTGTGGATAAGATGGGACTACACTGTATAAGTACATAGTAAACACAGATCTGTGACTTCTTCCCTCTTTTTAAATCATTATTTGTCTTGGGGAATCCATTTATTCTTAATTTCTTCGTGAAAAAAAAAAAACAACCCCTTAATATATCACATTTCTGAAAACATTAAAGAATGGTAATGTAAGTGCAAATGCTTTATACATGGTGAAGCTCCTACAAAAGTGCCCATTACTCTGTGCTAGGCTAGACACTTAATATGGGGGCTGGGAGAAACTGAGGGAGTGGTGCAATGGCCTATCTGGAAGTTTATCATTTCCTTCTGCATGACTGGGAAGTTTTTCCACAGGAGGTGGCTCGGGGCTGTGCTTTGAAAGAGGGGAAGGGTGGATCCTGGTTTAAGAAGTAAAAGCAGCTGTTTCAATAACAATAAGAATGGTATAGGCTAGGGCTGAACCAGAAGAAAGGATGGGAACAAAAGAACCTGGGCTATAAGCCAAAAGATGGATCCCCAAAACTAAGCAAGGGCAATTAGACAATAAAGAACTATCGCCATCTTACATTCATACACTTCATTTTCACTTATGGAAACACTTCTATATAGGTGATTTCACATGATTTTCATAATAAACTGTAAAGTAGATAAGACAGTCCAGGAAACAATCATTGTACAGATGGCTTGTAGTTTTCAGAGATCAGGAAATTGAATCAAAACGTGGCTGTGGATTTATTGTTTTACAGTTGCAATAATGACTGAATGCCACTTTCCCAGGCCTGGCTTCATATACCTTTGGCTGGTTCTGAGAAAGACAGCTGAGGTAGACAGCGCTTGGAATCCCATTTACATAGTTTACAGTTGGCAAGTCAAATAGTAGAAGGCAAGGGCTGGAAAAATAACCTTAGTGTCAACATTCAAGATTGACAGGAAAGATGACAAGCTGGTAGTACCACCAACACTATATAAAGGGATTGAACCAGCAATACTCCTATCTTCCAGTAGCTCACACACTAGGGGGACACCATGGGTTTGCGAAATTATAAAAGAGGGCACACACATTATTAAGGTGAACAAATAATGTGAACAATATAAATTCCATAGGCAGAAATGAACACATTCAACACTTTATAGCTGTAGGAGTCAAGGAGCCAGAACTGGAGAACTTTGGGGGCAGGATGGGAAGTTTAATTGGGAAAACTGAGAAACCTGGGAGGGGAAAGGTCTTTGGAAGGAAGACAAGTTCAGCCTTTGACGTGGTTGGTGTGATGTGGACAGTCCGTGGGTTGTAAATAGCAGGAAATATGGGTTAGGGCTTTGAGAGCGAGAGAGAAAGAACATTAGTGCTGACAGCTGACATCAGCAGCATTCTCAGAGACCTCATGGAACACTGTCGTAGGGAAGGGGGTCTGGCAAGTGGACAGCACTCCTTAATGACTTCACTAGATTCAAGCCACAGGAAAGTGGCTTCATCATCCCAAACTAGATGTCTTTCAGACTCTTGACTTCATCTGGCAAAGGCTGGCGTTAAGAGCAATGAGAAGCATCAGGAATCTGAGCTTCATGTCTTTCCTCTCTTAAACTCCTTGGCCTCTCAAGGGCATCACAGCCTGTATTTGGTTTTAATATTTTGTTGTCCACTCATGTTTTGTCCAATATGTTTATTCAAATATCCTTCTGTATGGTCTGTACACAGTAACTTTTGTACAAGTGCACTGCTCTGAGAAATTAGGAGCATTTTATTTTTTATTTTTATTAAAAAATTAAAAACAAATTTAAATTACATAATCTCTATGCCCAGAGTGGGACTCAAACTCAGGACCCCGAGATCAAGAGTCACCGACTAAGCCAGCCAAGTGCTCCTGGGAAATTAGGTGCTTTTTAAACTGTTGAGATGAATAATAACGACATTGGAGAAAATGTCAGTGAAACTGACTCAGGGTGACCAATTCCACCTCATTTTGTAACTTGTTCTCCTTTTTGCATGCTTCTGACCAAACTGAAGTTTGAAGAGCAAACTATTTGGGAAGTATGTTATTTTACATTCCTTCATTATCTTCCTCCTTAGGACAGCTCAACAATTAAATCACTGACACCCCATGCAAGAAGTGTGGGAGCTAAAGGCTAGCCCTCACACAATACATTGCTTTGCATATTATTTCCTTACCACATAATTGATGGTAACATATTCCCTTTCTTTTCCCATGGCTGCTACATCAGTTCGGGCTAAATTTTGTGTTAAATCACCCAGCTTCAAGATGGGTAAATTATGACCTCGGACTACACTTTTTTTTCTTGCCTGGCAGCTGGGAAGTCTCTCAGCTGTGTGCCTTTCCAAACCAGGCTGGTCTTGAAGGTGGGTGGCTCTTGTGAATCTCTGCAGAGTGACAATGCTGGCTTTAGAAAATGCCAAAGTTTGTGCAAAAGGTGTAAAAAAATCATAGTATTTACAAGTCATCTTTTTTTTTTTTTTAAAGATTTTATTTATTTATTTGACAGAGAGAGACACAGGGAAGGAGGGAACACAAGCAGGGGGAGTGGGAGAGGGAGAAGCAGGCTTTCCGCAGAGCAGGGAGCCCGATGCGGGGCTCGATCCCAGGACCCTGGGATCATGACCTGAGCCGAAGGCAGACTCTTTTTTTTTTTTTTTTTAAGATTTTATTTATTTATTTGAGACAGACAGAATGAGAGAGAGAGAGCGCATGAGACGGGGGAGGGTCAGAGGGAGAAGCAGGCTCCCCGCCGAGCAGGGAGCCCGATGCGGGACTCGATCCCGGGACTCCAGGATCATGACCTGAGCCGAAAGCAGTCGCTTAACCAACTGAGTCACCCAGGCGCCCGAAGGCAGACTCTTAACCTACTGAGCCACCCAGGCGCCCCACAAGTCATCTTTAAGCCTTAAAACATGGTGAAAAAAGTGTTTACAGAGCCCAGCAACTCCCTCTTTTGTTGGGTCCACGCTGACAGACTCTTCAGATGAAAGATTCTTTGGGGACTCCAACCTCTCTGGCACCCTAAGACAGGATATTTTTGGTTAAGTGCTGCCTCCTGGCGGCAGCTCTACTGCCCGTCACCTTCCCGGCCCGGTGGAGACTGCTTTCGTTAACTGGGGATCTCGGAGCTGATGCAACAGCTCCCCGAGGGGGCGGGGAGTTGAGACGCCCTTCCGAGAGACCCCTCCCCCGGCTCCCGGCGGGCGCCGCTCCCCTTCCCCTCCCCCTCCCCCACGGGGCTTTGCAGTCCGGAGTCACTCCCAAGTTTCAGCCGGGCGTCTAGGGGCTGGAGGCGGGGTTGCCAGGGTTTGGGGCTGTCGCGCGGACCCCCGTCGGGCCGCCAGCGCGAACAGCATTGGGGGGGGAAGAGGAAGCTGAGCGTTCCTGGGGAGGAGGGCGCGTCTAAGGGTATCCAATCTCACTTTCAGGCAGCGCAGCTGTGCCTGAGTGAGGAGAGGGCTGGGGAGCGCGTTGCGGGACCCCTGGGTTCTCGGACCCTGGCGCCCTTTGTCTACAGCCCCCACCCCCACCCCCAAGGCTTCCTGGAGCCCGGGGAGGGGCGGGGGCTGCTCGCCAGGTACAAGGAAAGAAGGGACCGGACGCCGGGTGGGGTGGGCTCCTGGTCCCCCAAGGCAGACCCCGGTTTGGCCTCCGCAGCCAGACCTGGATATTTGGGGCGACCGAGCTCTTAAGAGCGGCATTGAGGGCGGGCGGTGGCCGGGTCGGGATTTGGGAAGGCGAGGCCTCCGGGCTGCAGACTCGGAACAACCGGGGGTCAAGGGAAAGAGGATAATAAAGGGACCGGCGGGGGCTGGCGGGGCGGGGAAGAGGGGAGCGTGGGAGAAAGGGGCAAAGGTGAGGTCGGGCTGCCGCTGGGCGGGGGCGGAGGGGGTGGGGCCAGGGTCACCGCGAAGAGAAGAGCTGCGGGAGGGCGTCCGGGCAGAGGTCCCCTTAAGGGTGTGCGGTTCCCAACACTCTTGGACTCGCCGGCACGCTCGTGAACCTGAGCCCTCGCTTCCCTCTGCCTCGTCCGCCCTTTCGCCACCGGGCGGCCGTCGCACCTTGCTCTCGCCGCACCCAGGCCGGTCACCTGAGCCGGGGCGGGGGACAGCACCGGTCCCGGAGAGCGCGTGGGATGAGGGGCTTTTTGTGTTCCCGTTACTGAAACGAAAAGTTCACTTCAAACCATTCTAGGCCTCGCAGTCAAACTGAAAAGTACACCCTCCCTCTCCCTTCAACCCATTACTGTCAAAAAGAATAAATACTTCCAGATAACTCCTTGCTTAGTTTAGGAGCCAGACCAGCAGCCGGATAAGTGCGCCAGAAGGGCAAGTTCAAGGACGTTCCCAGAACCCAGGTTGCTGGGAAATCAGTCTAGGAGGAACAGCATTGTTTATTCATTCATTTATTCTTGCCTGTCTCTGTGTGCTCTGCCCTGGGGACACAGGGTGAAGAGCCAGCGCTCTGGTGGTGCTTGCATTCTAGTGAGGAGGTGACAGCCAACAAGCAAATGCACTCTGGGTGGTGGTGCCCTTGCAAAGAAGTCCAGAACGGTGAATGGATGAAGAGGGAAGACGTTGCTCCTTCAGAGACTCCTCAGGGAAGGCCTCTGGTGGTGTGTCTAAGCACAGACCCGGATGGAGTGCGTGAAGGGATGAACAGTGTCGCCGCCCGGAAACGTTGCAGGCGGAGGCAACAGCAATTGCGAAAGCTCTGAGCCCAGAGTGGGTCTGTTGTGTGGCAAGAGCAAGGAGGCGGCCAGGGTGGCTTGAGTGGAGTGACAGTGCAGATGCCAATGCCAAGGGGGCCCTGTTAGGGCTGTCTTCCTAGGACTTCCCTCATGTACCACGTGGGCCTGACCCCTGAGGGGAATGAAGGGGCAGGCCAGCGGGGCAGTGGCCTGGGTATAAAAAGGCACTACGTGCTCCTTGGAGTAATTCAGACGTTCGGTGCCAATGAACTCCGATTTCCGTCTGGGTCTCCTGGTGAACGGTAAGTTGGCTCCCATCCACAGACAGAACCCTTGATGACTGCTTACCTGGGCTGTCTGTCTCTAGGATAATTTTGCAACACGCAGGTACAGGTATAAGTTGCAGGGTGCAGCCCTGAGATTGGCCAGTGGGTCGCTGTAGGGAGGCAGGAGTTACAGCTGGAAATCTGCGAATGCCCCATGCACTGTGAAGTGTCATCCCCACCCCGCCGGAGAGATTGACGCTCTTGTCCGCAATTTAAATGCTTCAATATGCCCACCGAGAAACGACTTCAGAAAGTTGCACGTAATGAAGTCATAGAATAAGCTCTCATTTTGAATAGGAAGAATGAGGCTTCCCGTTTTGATTCCAAGAAAATCGGTATTCCTCCACCTCTGCTAAGTCGACGTTCAACAGATATTTAAAGGATCCTGATTTGAAGGGGTGCCAACTCGTTAGCTTGCCCAGGGTGCCAGAGCTGGCTCTTACCTGGTGGCACGTGCATCCCCCGAACCAACTGGGGACCCGAGCTGTAAGTGGGCTTGTGCTGGGGCATCTGGCTGTTCCCGCACAAGTGGTCTTCCTTAGCATGTGTGGCCTGACACAGGGGCTGAGTTCCAGAGCCCTAATGACGGAGCCTACGCCCTCCACAGGACGAAGGATAGTATGTGAGTGGGAGATGAGTAGGAGACGGGATGAGGGGAACAGGCAAACAGGAGGGCACTGTCAGTCGCTGGGAGAGCTTAAGTGCTCTGTAAACGTAGGGCAACAAGGAAGATCAGGGGCTGAGGTGGGGAACAGGAGGAGCTGAGACTGGGTGGAGAAGGTGCCTAGAGGCGGGCAGGCGACGAGGTCCTCTGGGTCTGACCAGGCAGTCCCAGCTCCAGCCCATCCCCTGGCCCCTCCCCGCTGCCGGCCAGAGTCACACATGTGTTTTCCTGTTTTCCATTTCGGTCCCCGTCACCCTCTGCCTTTTCTGCTCCTCGGAGTCAACAGCTGCTGCAGCTCGAGCCTTAGCCGGCTTCCCTTCCTAGCACCTTCCCCTCCCCTGCCCCACAGCGTGCTGGTAGCCCCTCCTCCTCGCACCTGCCCAAAGGTCACGGGACAGGTAAGAGGTGGGAGAGGAGGGACTATAAGGCGAGAGGGGAAGTGCAGGAGGAGGATGGAGTGAGCGTCCTGAAAACTGGCTCACTGGAGACCCAAGAGCCTGTTGTCTTGGTCCTGGCTCCGGCCCTCCCCAGGCAGAGCCCTCTGCCCAGAAACTTTGGCCCTACGCTAATGGGAGCCCTGGCCACAGGAGTAAACAATTTCTTGTTTCACTTTTTTTTTTTTAAAGGGACTATCGGAGCCACAGTGGACTATAGAAAAACAAATGGAGAACTGGGGAGGGAGGAGCTGAGCTTCCAGCTTGGGGTGATGGGGGCATCCAGCTGAACCACAGTGTGTTTTCTGTTTCTGTTGTTAGGGGAGGCAGCACAGACCAGTTGGAGCTAGGAAGGCAGGACATGGGGTCTCTGGGAGAGAAACTATCTTCTCAACATTTAGCTCTTGAGCTTGACCGAGCAGCCAAGACCCTGAACTGTGGGCTGGTTCCTGGAGGAAGTATGCTTTGGCGTTGCCATTCATGGGTGGCTTTGGGGTCAGGGGCTTTACTGGCTGTTGTGCTGGGCATGGCACACTCGGGGCCCTGTGCCTGGGTTCTCTGAACCCCTGAATCTGAAACTTCACCCATAGGCTGCAAGATGAGTGTGTTGTCCTGGTACCTGCACCAGGTCCTCAGAGTTGAATGCACCTCAGGCAGGAAGAAGACGGGGTGCTGTGTATCAGGAACGCTGCTATCTCTTGGGGTTCCAGACTCTGCAAGGCTCTCCTGTAAAGCCTGGGGTGGGAGAGCCCTTGGGGAGAGGTCCTGCTGGTCCCAGGCTGCCTGAATGGTGGAGGCATTGCCTGAGAGCCAGAGTCTCTGGGAGGAACGTGAGCTGCTGGAGACGGTGCCTTCCTGCCCACAGCCGCTGGTGCTAAGCAGTGGTTGAGGAAGGAGGGGGCATCTTTTCTCTGGAGGGCAGCCTCCCCTGCCCAGTGTGCGCAGACTGAGAAGTAGGCTAGGGAGATTCCACTGACAGCACTTCCTGGGGGCGCCGCTAGGGTGTGCTGTCTGCCGGAGTGTGGGTTTCACCCCCGTGGGTTTCTGTCTCAAGAGTCCCTGATGAGGACTTCGCTTTTCCCCAGCCGGGGACTAAACCCTGCACACTTCTTCCCCACTCTCCCTCACGGGTTCCCCTTCCTTCGTCCGCCCTTCATTCCTTTCCTTTATGTTCCACCCACCCCTTGGTGCCAGTAAATGTGGTCTTAAAATGGCAGGCGGGGTGATGTATTTCCGTGTGTTTTTGTTTGCTAAGCAGTGGGCACCCTAGCAATAGCATCGCTGCCAAGAGGACTTGCGGTCGCCTCTCATCCCTGCAAAGGGATGAGAAAGGGGAGGAGCAGCCGGGAAGGAGATGGACCGGCTTAGTTGGAGCCTTTAGCCTAGCCTGCAGGCTGAAGGATGGCAGAGGCTGTCTGTTTAATCTAATCACACCCTCCCCCAGGTAATTCACGAGGGAGCCAACTGAAGTGTTTTCCTGTCTGAGGGGAAGGCCCGGCAATGGGGCAGGTCGGAGCAGGTCGGATTGGGTGGGAGGTGGGGGGAGATAGCACAGTGCCGATTCACAGCCCGGGCTCTGCTGGAGAGCCTCGTGGCTCCCTCGCTGGTTTGGCACCCTGGCACGTGATTTAGTGCCTGCCTTAAGGGGCTGCAGGCAGGTTTGGATGAGATCAGGCATTTGGGTGCTTAGCAGTATGTCTGGCACTGGGTAAGTGCTCCATAAAAGACAGCTATCATTAAAGGAGGGTGGAGGGGGCAGCTGGAAGGCAAGGACAGGCTCCTCTGGAGGGATTTCCAGATATTTGTGAGGATGGCTTGGGAGAAGCATGATCTTTGGGAAGGCTGACACCAGGATATTCCTTTCGGTTAAAAAAAAAAGATTTAAGGGGCTAGAATGCAAAGATGTAGGGTAGAGATAAGGCCCCCCCCAACCCCCTGGGGATTTTTAGATCTTCATTCTCTGGTTGTAGAATAACCAAAAAGGGTTAGAAAGAGTGTGGGAAGGGACCGAGAGATTTCAGAATGGATAGGATGTATTTCTGTTGGTAAAAGAGTCCCGGGATACCAGATTGAAGTAGACCATGAAGATAGAACATGTGATTTACAAAAAATGCTTGACTTTCTCTGTTCTGGGCCTGTCTGTCCTGTCTGTCCAGGATAGCTCAATGAAATCTTATTTCTCCATATTTTTTAGGAAACTGGACTAAACTTGTATGTGGGGAAGGTGTTTTTAGGAATTTATGGTTTCTTTTGAGGATGAAAGGGCACCTGAGCAGGGAGGGGAAGCAGCCAGGGGTTTGAGTCTCATTTCTTGACCTTGTTTCCTTGGGAGTAGCTTGAGGCTCAGCCTTGGGGTCATGGCTCAAATTTGGGGGCAGCCATCCTTTGCTCTGAGGGGAAGTGTGCAGAGTTCCTCTCTTAGGATGCCTGTCACGAGGCCACGAAGCGTGGGGACTGCACTTAGACTTCCTCTAATCTCAGCACAGCAACACGCCTTTGTGGCACCCTTGCCACCTCCCTGCCTTTCTTGTCGGCGGCGGCGGTGGGGGGGGGGTGCTGGGGGATGGGGGGATGGTGCATTCCTTCTCAGCCGCCCGCCCCGTCCTCAGCTAATTGCCTCAGGGCCAGCCTCCCTGGGGCTGCAGAAACTGTGCCCAGCCACCATCGTTTCTTCTGGGCCCTCAGTCCCAGAGCAGCGCTGACAAAGGAGATTCCTGAGAGAGTGCCTTATCACGGAAAGTGCTGAGCCTAGAGCTCCTAGCTGTGCCTTTTGCAGATGTGAAGGGCCCGTGAACCTTGGACCCAGACAGTTGCTTAACACTCCTCTCCCCCTCCCTCACCCCCTCCACCCATCTTGACTTCTCGATTTGATTTAAATCCAGAAGCATTTGCCTGGCCTTTCCTTTTACCGCTGGCTGGAAAGGAGGAGCGGTCAGGCCACAGTTCCTAGAGGCTGCGTCTCTGTGACTGCCACTGCGGGAACCTGCTGGAACCCGGGGCCAGGGAGTGAGTGTGCTTCGCCCCCGCGCGCCCCCCCCAGCCCCGCTCACCTTGCCCACCCGCTGTGCTGCTGGGGGCGGGGGGAGGCTGGCCAATCACTTCCTCTCCCCAGTGCCTCTGGCTCTAGACCTCTCCCCTTGCTGGGCCAGCCTCCCTCTCTTGCTCCCGGCAGTCCCCTGCTCTGCCGGGCGGGCACCTGCGGACGCTTCCGCGACTTCCCAGCCTCGGCTTTGCGTCTTTGGGTGCTGACTCTCCGGCTGCAACTCCTGGGTGGGGAGCCATCAGCTGCCTCCAATCACCTCGAGGTTGGGCTGTCCCTGTGGATCACCCTTCTCTCATTCATACTTTTTTGGGTGATGCAGCTATGGTGATGTGAGGAAGTTACAGCAGGAAGCCTGGAATACTAGGGGCTGGGAAAGAGGTCTGGGAAGGAAAAGCAAGGAAAAGAGGAGAATCACCTGTCTTCTTTCTTCCAGGGCGGGGTGGGGCTGCTTGGGCTTTGCTAGGGCTTCCGACTTCACGTAAGGGTGGTTAAGAGCGGCTCCCTGAGCAGGGGGAGGGTTGTAGGTTTCCAGCAAGAGGTCCCCAAAGCCTTTAGGTTTGCCAGAGCCCGTGTCCTTTGTGGGGGGGGGAGAGAAGTTTGTGAGGAGAACCCACAGATAGGCTGCTTGCAAGGTTGGTTCCTCACGTTGCAGCTCAGCGCAGGTAACAGGTGAGACAGAAATTAGAGGGAAGACAGACTGGGGGTGAGGCTGAAAAACGCGGACTCAAATCATGAGGGTTATACCTGGGAACTGCCAGCTTGCCTTTTATCACAGCAGACTCAGATAGAACCAGGATTTAGTTTTCTCTTTTGTCAATCTGGTGGGCAGCACCATCCTAATGAGGAGAAACAGCTGCTTTCTCTCTAGGGAGTGAGGGCCTTCCCTTAAAAATTCCAGTTGGGGTTATTTTAATGAACCAGCTGGAGAAGAAGAGGTTAATGGGAGGTGGGAGGCCAGAGAGCTCTCTGAGCTGGGGTGGGGGGTGAGGGGTGTGGCAGGACATTGCCCATATTGACCACTATGGGCAAGAGTTCTATGTAATTACCAACCACCTGATCTATATCTTCATCTTTCTTCCTTAGAACGCAATGCCAAGAAGCTGGTGACGGCCATCTTCTTCTCCGCCATGGCTAACAGCATTAAGTATGAAGTGGCCTCCCAGCAGGAGGGGGATGATCCCCCCTCGGCCGATGAAACCAGCCCAGGGTCCGAGCAGGTAAAGCTGAAGAAGGAGATCTCGCTGCTTAATGGCGTGTGCCTGATTGTGGGGAACATGATTGGCTCGGGCATCTTTGTCTCCCCCAAGGGCGTGCTCATGTACAGTGCCTCCTTTGGCCTCTCCCTGGTCATCTGGGCTGTTGGGGGCCTCTTCTCCGTTTTTGGGGCCCTTTGTTATGCGGAATTGGGCACCACCATTAAGAAATCTGGGGCCAGCTATGCCTACATCCTCGAGGCCTTCGGGGGATTCCTTGCCTTCATCCGACTCTGGACCTCACTCCTCATCATCGAGCCCACCAGCCAGGCCATCATTGCCATCACCTTTGCCAACTACATGGTGCAGCCAATCTTCCCGAGCTGCTTCGCCCCCTATGTTGCTGGGCGCCTGCTGGCCGCTGCCTGCATCTGTAAGTGGGGCTGGGGCAGGAGGTGTGGGCTGGATGTGAGGCCAGGCAGAGGCTGGGATGTGAGTCCAGTAAGCCAGCAGAAGGAGCTGGAAGGGAATGCCTCTGACACACACTCTTGTTGTTTTTATTTTATTATTATTATTTAAAGATTTTATTTTTAAGTAATCTCTACCCCCCCAATGTGGGGCTTGAATTTAACAATCCTGAGATCAGGAGTTGCATGCTCTACCTACTGAGCCAGCCAGGTGCCCCCTTTTATTGTTTTACATTTGTGTATGCTTCCTGTGAAAATTCAAACAGTAGCAAAGTGTAAAAACAGACAAAACAAGCAAAACTGCAAAGAGAACAATTTATCTTTCCCCCATTTTCCCATGGTGAGCCCCATTAGCAGTTTGTATGCCCTTCCTTTTTTTTTCCTTCAAGAAGTGTAGTGTTTTTGTTTTTTTGATGGATTAATTAATTAATTAGGCACCATGCCCAGTGTGGAGCCCAATGGGGGCTTGAACTCACGACCCTGAGATCAAGACCTGAGTTGAGACCAAGAGTCAGATGCTTAACTGACTGAGTCCCCAGGCGCCCTTCAAGAAGTGTTTTTTTTCTGTTTTGAAAAAATGGGATCATAATACATATATAATCCTACAGTTTTTGCTTTTTTCCCAGAATTTACCAGTGACATTTTCTACTTAGGGATCTACTTTTTAAAAAAAAGTTTCATGGTGTTCCATGTTAATTTTAAGGCTGTATTATGTAACAAATCAGTCCTCTGTTAGTGGCCGCTTAAGTTGGTTCCAGTTTTTCTGTCATACAGGTAATGCTCTGGTGAATATCCTATTGCGTTCGCATGAGTTTTTCTGTGGCCTAAATTCTTCTTTTTTTTTTTTTAAGATTTTATTTATTTATCTGAGAGAGAGAGAGAGAGAGAGAGAGATCATGAGCAGGGGGGGACGGGTATAGGGAGAAGCAGGCTCCCCGCTGAGCAAGGACCCCAATGCGGGACTCGACCCCAGGACCCCGGGATCATGACCTGAGCCCAAGGCTCCCTTGACTTTTGTTCTGTCTCATAAATAACACATTTAAACCTATACATTCAACAAAGCCACATTGGAGGTACTGAGAAGCTGATCCTCTATAGCCCCATCCCTCCGGTGCCTCTGTTTTGGAAAAATGCCCTCCTAGCCTGAAACCTTGGAGACCCTTTCCATGCCCCAACTGTGGAGAAGTTCAGAGCTTCTGTGTTTTAAGGAGTAACTATCCAGCAGCGGCAGCTGTGAAGTGCAGGTGTTTTGTACCAGGTGCAATTGCTCCCTGGATCAACCTTGTCCAGGCAGCCTCGTGTCCCCTTTTCTTGAGGTTTCTCCACTGCCCCATCTTACTCCTCAGCTTCCTCCCCAGCCTCCCTGCTTTCACTGTTGCAGAGACCTGGGTGTCTGTGTGGGGCCCCCCTGTGCTTTGTGTGCCCATGCGTGTGGCTCGGACTCATCTTTGTGTATCTTTGGGTTTGGGGGTGTCTGTCCTGCATGGCAACAATCAGGGAGGGGTGGAAGGCACTGCCTTGTGTTACAAGGAGGAGGTTCTCCCTTGAGGTCTTAAATGTGATCTGTGATTTCTCTTGCATCATTTACAGATGATCTGGTAGGTTGACTTACTGGTGAAACTAATTTTAGGGTCTGTCAGGCTCGAGGTGCCTTCAAATGTGGGCATACAGTTACATATCTTGTGTGGTGTAAGGATTATTCCATCTAAGTAAAATTTCCAAGATGGCTGCATCCCTTTAAGCCCTAGGATCCTATTATGCTAATCATCTTTGTCGCAGTCTCTTTAAAACCGATGATATGTCTCCTTGCCTTCATAACTTTGGGTGACTCAGAGTCACCAGTACCGTCTCAATTCTTGTATGACTGTGAGGCCTTCCCAAGCCACCGGGGTGATGATTAGTGTCTACTTCCTCAGTGGCTTCAGAGTGCTGGCCTGACTTTAGTTCATCAGGTTTCATTCTTTACGGTTTTGATCTGTGTCATCTGATAGCTGTTCCTTGATTCTGGCATCGGGCCTACCGCCATCCGTCACCCCCTTTTTATTTATTTTTATTTTTTTTAAAGATTTATTTATTTGAGAGAGAGAGAATGAGAGACAGAGAGCATGAGAGGGAAGAGGGTCAGAGGGAGAAGCAGACCCCCCGCCGAGCAGGGAGCCCGATGCGGGACTCGATCCCGGGACTCCAGGATCATGACCTGAGCCGAAGGCAGTCGCTTAACCAACTGAGCCGCCCAGGCGCCCCCGTCACCCCCTTTTTAATTCGCCATGTCTACCTTGGGACCAGCGATGGCCTCAAACTCTTGTACACCCAAGTACACATACGCACGCCGGTACACCCTTGTAAGAATACATGCGAAGTAACCACGGTTTATGATCAGTCTGCAGAGCTCCCCAGGTAATAAAAGACGCGGTTGTGTGCATGGATTTATGGCATATATTTGACGCAACTCTGATATCAGAGTGACAAGCACACGAGACTTGTGTTTGAGGCTGGGCTCAAGACCTGTGTGACCCTAGGCAAGATGCAGTTACTGTTTTCCAGGCTGCTGCATGGATGAAGTGAGATTCAGTGAAAACCATAAATCATGACTCAAGTGCAATGTATTGGTGGTGATTATGTTTAAAATTTCTCTCTTGGCTGCTTCTAGGACTTTGTTCTGTCTTTAATAACTTCTGAGGAACCTAGAGATCTGGAAGAAGGTTCAGAAGGGCAGCCAAGATTGTAAGTAAGAATTAGGGACCTATGATTCCTAAGTTTCTTCCTTCAGCCATTGTCTAATGAGCACCCAATACATGTCAGATGCGGAGACCTAGAAGGACATTCTGTCCATATGTCCAGCTATGTGGTAATATCTCGTTTATCTAACCGTAGCCATTCAGGAGAAAGCCAGGAGGTAGGCCTAGAAGCATCCAAGAAAGAGAGTAATTTTAAACATAACAATCATCAGTATGTTACACTTGAGTCATGATTTATGGTTTTCACCGCATCTCACTTCACTCGCTTGGCAGCCTGGAGGTAAACCATCCCCACACTTGCCTAGCGTCACGCGGCTGCTGAGCCCTCTCTCAAACACAGGCCTGGCGCCCCTGTCACTCTACTAGAGTTGGCAGATACATGCCAACGATTGACGCACAAGATGAGGACTGAGGCTAAATCTTCAAATTTAGCAAGAGAAGGGATTTAATATAGAACATTCCTTCATTCAGGGATCATTTAGGGCATACTCTGTGCTAGATATTACACGTAGTGCTGGGAAGCAAAGAAGAAAAAAGTATGGCCCTTGCCATCCAAGACCTCCTAGTCGAGGAGGGAGACAGATATGTTGCCCAGTAGTTCTCATGCGGTATAGCAGGTGTGGTGATAGGGGCACCATGGGAGCGAGCAGGACAACTTTCTTCCTGTGGGGAGGAGAGCGTAGGAAGACCTCACAGAGACCATGTTGTCTAAACTGCATTTTGGAAAGATCCATAGATGTCTCCTATGACACTTCTCACAATAGGAACTGCATGTGAAAAGGTGTGGAGGTGCAAAAAGGCATGGAATGTTCAGGGAATTCAGGTGGTTGGTGTGGCTGGAATGTGGGGTGGAAGAGGATGAGAAGATAGAGACTGGAAATGTAGCCCAGGGCCAGCTCCGGACTTATATGTTGCCTAAACAGGTTAGACTTTATCTGGAAAGTGGGGGGACGCTGTTGATTGTGAGTGGGGAAGCAAAATCAGATTTGCTTGGGAGAAGAACTCTGGTGGCCACGTGGAGTGTTTTTGGCAAGTGTGAGAGTCCGAAGGTGGGCAGACCGGTTTAGGGAGCTGAAACCTGAGTCCACGTGAAGGATAGTGAGGCGTGTACTGTGGGCAAGGCCTTTGGACCAGAGATGAGGGGATGGATAAAGAAATAGTTAGAAGGTGGAATTTCTAGGACTTCTGGCTGGAGGTATGTCGGGGAGCTCTCAGAGGTGATGCTAAGGGTTCAAGCTTGGACAGAGGGGCAGTGTTGGGGCCTCCATCTGAAATGGGAAGGTGAGCTGAGTGATGAGCAGAGGGGCATCTGGGGCTTCTGCTGGGCTGCTTATGGGGCCCTTCCCTGAGCAGTGCCTTCCTTGGGTCTTTTGTGACCCAAAGTTGGTCATTTTCCCATCCACGGAGTCCTACTTATCTAAAAAAGAAACTGATGTGTAAATGATGATGCTAGTCTATGACTGTACAATGGTGAGTGTACATGTGTAATTTCTAATGACCAGAAGGTGAGTGCTCACTGTCAAGGCTTCTTATTAATACCACAGTCCCTAGGAAACCCATTGAGTAATCAGGGAATTGCTTGCAGGGCATGGAATCAGAACAAAGGAAGAAAGTTTTGACCATGGAAGAAAAATTTACTGAACGTGATGGGCTCTATAAAATACGGAGCTGAGAGGTAGAGCAGGGAACTCGATGGTGTGGTGGTGGAGATAGGCAAAAGTAGCCAGTGAAACCTATATATGGTCGGTCAGTGCTGGGAGGGGAGGGGGTGGAGAGCGCCTTACTCAGGAGATGTCTGCATGCAACACTGAAGGATGAAATGGAGTCCAGGCATGGTTGAAGCGCCCGCTTAGCATGGCCCGCGAGTCCTGCTCCATCTCTCTTCTCTCTGACCTCTCTTTCACCCTCACTTTCTCTGTTCCAGCTTCACCGGCCCTCTTGTTTTTCCTCCAGTTTGCCTGGCCTGTTCCTGCTTCAGGGGTTTTGTACTTTATTGTGCCTTCTGCTGGGAAGGCTCTTTCCCCAGACACCCTCAGAGCCTGCCCCCCAGCCCCCACTCCATTCATGTCTTTGTATAGATATTACCTCACCGGAGACTTATCCTGTCTAAAGTGGTCACTCTCAGTTTCCCATCCTGTTTTGTTTTCCTTTATAGCCCTTGTCTCCATCTGGCATTAAGTATTTACTTGTTTATTGTCTGTCTTTCCCTCTAGAATGTAAACATCACA